TGGTTCATGGGGTCACGAAGAGTCGGACACGACTTAACGACTAAACAACAACAACAAAGGATTTGGGATGTTATTAGGATATTTTTTAAAGCTTATTTTGTTGCGAATTGTTCCAATCCCTCCAGGAAGAAGAATGCTAAAGAAATTAGTTAGCTAACTAACGAAATGATTGCTGCCTGAGGTGCTGGTGCAGATGGGGAATTTGCTTGAGTGCTTCCAATTTGTTGACGTTCAATTACACCATCCCATCCCTTATAGCTGTCACAGCTGCCCATGAATTACCCCATGTGGCACAATGACAGGAGTGAAAGTTTCCTGATCCTTAATCAGAGTTGCTGGAATAGTGGCAGTGAACCACAATCCCTCAAGCCACATTGCTAGGAAGGGGCAGCTTAAAGGCTCTCTCCTTAGTAATACTTGAAGGCAAAGTGAAGGATGTATATGTAGGTGCAAAATGTTCCACAATCGACAATGTAACCCATTACTCCAAACATTTGCCCACTCTTGCTTTATGGTACCACAGGACTCTGCTTTGCTTAAGTAAGAAGGGACAGCCACTGTCTGTGAGCAGTTAGGATAGCACTGTGCCTTACAAAGGTTTTGCAATGTTTCATACTCTTGCTGCATCCATCTCTCTGCTGCAAAATCACAGTGAGCAGAAAATAGCTGTGTGGATAGGAGGCCCTCTCCTTTTGGGGCTGGACTTGGCAAGCTCTGCTGAGCCTGTCACTGTGCAAAAATGAAGACTGCATCCTGGACTAGGTCCAATGTTCTCTTACGGCTACACATCACAGAGTGAATTGGAGCCAGCCAACAAAATTTGGGGAAGTTGTCAATCCATTTGAATAAAGAAACACTCTTCTTAGGATCCCATGGAATCTCAGGAGTAAGCTAATAGACTGTATTTGTACTGTGAACTGTAAAAGCTTTTGTGAGGTGCTGCACTATTCTTCACTGATTTTATTAAGATCAACTATTTATGACTATCCCTCTTGACTATTTATGACTATCCCTTAGGCCAGAAGCAGGCAAATTGATGCCATCCGGATACTTTAGATTTCAACTCCCATCGTGCCCAGTTAGGGGCAAAAGCCTGGGAACTGTGGCTAAAAATTCTGAGGGCATCAGGTTCTTATCCTTTGCATGAAAGCACCACAGCCATAATAATGCTCTTCTAACGGACAGCCAACAATACAGGCTGGCTGGATTCTCCATTCCAGGTCAGTTAAAGAAATTCTCAGAGATGCATCACGGTAACATAACCAAGTTGTGGTGCAGTGAATATTACATTATGGATCCAGTTTCCCCACCCTTACAGGAACAGTCTTGTTAGTACAGTGCGACATTACAACAACCAGACGTTCCCAAAGCCCCAGTGGTTCTGCCTCTGTCTTTTCATTTCTTCTCACCAAGTTTGTTGATGCCAATCTCTTGCAAATCCTCCCAGGTCAGATCAGTCACAATGTTGATGGAGTCATAACCGTTGCTCACCAGCTTCTTGTGGTACTGGGGTAGACCAATAGCACTCAGCCAATCCATCAAGTCATCCTATGAAACAGTACAATCACACTGGGTTTTATTAGGGAGTCCCTGCTGCTCTCCAAGTCTATGCAACTTGGGAGAGCTGAGAAACTGAATGGACCCTAGAAGATACACACGTCAGATCAGGTTCTCTCTGATGTTTTGGGTCAGAGTGCCTGCAATCCCTTGCCATTTGCTATGCTTGCTGGAAGGCACCATGAAGGGCATCCTCCATAGATAAGGGCTAAGCAGGGCAAGTTAAAAAAAAAAAAAAGCAGTCTTCAAAATGCCACCATCATTATACATAGCTCAAAACTTTCACTTAAACCATCAACTTAATTTATTAGAGTGAGCAAATGATAGCCCTGATGGAGTAGAGAGCAGTTTCTTGGGCTTAGATTAGGAAGGCTCAATTCCCTCACCTCCAAACTCAAGTTCTGAAACCAAATGAGCTGATCTTTAACTATTCCTTACTTGAGCCTTACTATTTCACAGGCTTGTTGCAAATATTCTATGATATCTCTATGAAAAGAATATGGAGCTTTGGGGAAATGAGTGGGAAGAGAAAAATGTTGTAGAAGCAATGTCATTTCATGCAGAAAATGGTCAGAGATATTGTGGTATTAAATAGTTATTAGATTAAAATATGCCTCACAGCAACTCTATAGGTATTTTTGCAGGGGTGGGGTTGCTTTCGAGTCACATTTTGACTCCTGGCAACAAGGCAAGACTTGTACTTAATCATACTAATCCTATTTTAAATATGGGCATTTCAGGCAGGAAACAGGCAACATATCACGCCCATGGGCTTACATTCTGCTTTTCTAATATAACCAAAGGCCTCCTAGGGCAGTAGTTTACTAAGAACTCCATAAACGTTTCTGTACTGTTTCGTTCTAAGCAATTAAGAGGCTCTAGTATAGCCCTACTGGCTACCTCTTGCTTCGGATTGGCTGATAGGGATGCAGCTAATCATAGACTTCCTGTAGGTCTCTCTAGTTGCCATACTCACAGGAATATAATTTGGGAGCCATTCAGCAATGCTGAGCTGTCCAATCTCTGTCGAAATTTTCTTCCTGTGGCCTGGCTTGGTTACACCAATTGCTGTGAGATCCTGGAACAAAGTGTAGCCCAGATACATTATCTACCACCAACCAGATGTATTTTATATAGTCTACAATGGGGAGCTAAACATCTATACCACATGTGTCCTGCACTATCTCTTCAGGGAAAATGGACAAGTTCTTACAAGCCCCAAATGATAATGGTGTGGAGAAACCAAAAGACACCTTCCTACCTTTGCCCAGTCCCTCTGCATGCTCTTACCTCTGGAGTCATGCGGCTGATTGTTGGCACATCATAACCTGCATTCAGGAAGTTGGCTGTATAGCACTCCAGCTGGAATTCACTTAGCCAATTGTAAATGGCTGCAGCATCCTGCAAAGAAGAGAAAGAGAAGTCCCCTTGAGAAGGTGATGGCATGGAAAAGACTACGAAGACTACAATGATCCCTACATTCCTACAGTCCTTTGGTTATTTTACCAAAATATTGATGGTGTGCTTGAGCAGATGTATTAAAAAAGAAAAAAAGATAGAAGTCAAATTGCAGGGCATCAGTTCATCTATCTCTAATTTACCAAATGGTTAAGGCAGTGTTTCTCAACCTTGGCAATTTTAAGCTGTGTGGACTTCATCTCCTAGAATTCTTAACACTGGGTTAAGGGTTATAGGAGTTTTAGTTGAAAACACCAAGAGGTCACCAGGTTACCTATTTTTGCTATAGTTTAAGCCCCAACTTTTTCTGAGTGATCGGCCACTCATTAAGCCCGGGGTGGGCCTCCACTTGAAGGTAGTAGTCTATCATCACTTGTGCAAGCTTGGATTTAAGTGATGCTTTGCCATTCACCTACATGCTTGGCATGCACTTATTTAATGGAGGTGGTGAAGTTTCTTTTGATAAAGTGAAAATATACTAACAAATTGTTATCCTTTGGAAAGTCCTCCTAAATGCAGTCTGCAAGTGCACTTTCCAAATCAAGACTAGAGTACAGAAAGTGCAATTCAATATTTTAAAATCTACTTATTTATTTCCAGATATTAACAATATGGTTTCTTGGAAAGATCTCAGAGGATCTCAGGAGTAATTTTACTATGTCATTCCTTTCTTTTACCACTGCACTGGATATAAATTTTATTAGCAGCATTTTCTTGTGAAGAGAGATCTCTGCTCTTGCACATCTCTTTATAGTAGCCGTAGAAACATCTGCTGCCCTTGGCATTCTACTCCCTCCATTCTGATAGCAATGCTAGTAAAAAGAGACCTTGCCAGGGAAGGTTTCTGGACCAACTAGATCCACTAATAAAGCATGCCTCTTTGCCAACACAACTCTGGAACAGATGAAACATACAGCAGTCCTGAAATTAGCATTCTTATTTTCCTTCCAGCCCCAGCACTGCATTTGTTGTTCCTCTACCTTGAACATTCTCTTCCCTGCATCCTTTCAATTCTTCTGTCCCTATTTCTAATTCCAGGCTAGAGTGGCACCAGATGGTTTTTAATCAAATGCTACCTGGAACAACATCCACTTTATGAGGAACACTTGATATCAGAATTTCTATGGACATTCCAAGGGATTCCAGTACCTTCCCTTCCAGGAGCTGCTCTGGGCGTAGATACTGGTGGGAGAAGATCCTATCATTGGAGAAATTCTGGTGCATTGGGGTCCCTGCAAAGAACCAGAGCAAAATCAGAGCAGGCAACAGAGCCTTGGCAGAACCAATAGAGGACACAGTCATGCAAAAAGGCCTGTTGCTACGTAACATTTGTTTGAATAGGGCATGGAAGGGAGTTGGAAATCATTACACCGCGGTGGTCGCACTTTCTGCATTTATACCCATGGAGTTCACCAAGAGGAAAGGTAGATTTTATTTACATTTTTGTCCTGTAAATTTTTAATTTTAAATCCCAACTTTTCTCAAGAGCTACCAATAGCTTGTTGGGGTGGGGGTGGGGTAGCACAATCAAACAGAATACTCAGTTTCATTTTAAACTATGTATTTTTTTTAAAGTCAACTGTGACATGTTGTTGAATTTCAATTTTTTATTACTCATACCAAAGACATTCAGGCATAGATTTTCATGGACATCTGGAGCAGCCTTCTGCACCATACTTTTTAGAAGTATTGGGCTCCTCCTTTCAGTACCCAGCCAGCATGGCCAGTGGGAAGTCTGGGAGTTATAATCCAACTCATTTGGAGGGTATCAGGCTGGGGAAAGCTGCTGTATAAAAACAGCATTTGACACTGCAGGGCAGACAGTAATAACCCTGCTCTACGTCTCTGCTATTAGAAATTAATAGCACACTCTCCCTGCCATGCAAGCATGCCATCCCAGCTGGATGTTCACCTTGTGAAAAGTGTATATTTGTTGCCATTAGGAAAGATGCTTTGCTTCCCCTTGCCACCTTTGTGACAAGATGACAACATCTCCACTTACCCAAGGAGCTGGTTTGGCCATTGTGAGAATTTGAACTCAGAACATGTTGCTGCAGATCCTCCCCACCAGGCAAAAGTGGCTGCATACACAAGAGTGAAGAGAGCCATCAGTTATCAAATTGGCAGACATATGACTTTTTCTCACACTCAAAGGTTTTGCATATGGCATTAGCAAAGGCATATTTACAATTGTGCAATTAATACTGATAAACCCAAATGCCACACAGTGGCCCATTGGTTAAAAATATTTAAGACAAGAAGGTAATGTCCAGTCTTCTGGGATCTTAGAAGTAATCCCAACTGATTGTTCTTTTAATTTCTTCTCTGCAGATAAGCAACACTAATCTATGGAAGCTCTATATCATTTTCAAAGCCCAGGTGGCACAGGGAAAAGAATAGGAATGGAAACCACCACCAGTTCATCCCCAAACAGGAAGATTACTACTTTCCTCTTACCTAATTCATTACATCAGAACTAAATATGGCACTGCTTTATGTAAAGGGATTACGTGGTTATTCCTTGAGAATTTTGTTAGATACGGTACCCCCATCCTTTCAAATGGCTGCCACAGAACATGCAATTATGGCTCTAAGTAGTAAAGACCATTTTTCCCCAACCAGCTGCCCTCTAGTTATATTCCGACTATAACTCTTGGAATTCCCAGGTAATTGCTAGCTGAAAAAGAGAGCAAACATAATACCAGGTATCATTATATTTTCCATAGTGGGGAGTAAACTAGTTGAGGAGGACCTGGAACATGAACAGAAATATAGCCTCTACGGAAAGAGTTACACTCAGCTCTGTCACCCAGTGCTGCCTAAATCAAATGTAGAGCTCTTATGTCTGACAAAGATCTAAAGAAAACTGCACCTCAATTCTTTGTTAAACGAGAAACTACTCCCACATCTCATCTAGTTTGGCCATAAAAAGTACATTATCTCTCACAGTTTATTTCCTTTCAGTTTTTTGTCATTACCATCTTGCTAATTACGCATTAGCAAATCATGAACTTGAGCATAAGCCCCAAGTGAGATATAAGCTCCTTAAAGCAAGGGTGGCTTAAAGGCAGTATCAGCGGAGTGGAAGTACATCACAATGTCATCGCTTGGTCCCAAGAGCCCTGCTATATGAGGACCAGGACCAGGAAGAGGCATCTCAAGAAGTGGATCCTGGGCTGCTAGGCTCCATCAATGAAGCCAAGCCAGCAACCAGCCCAAATATTCCTGTCCTAAACCCAGGAGTTCCATACAGCCCTCAGGAATGCTGGTGTCTGAAAAGACAGAGTGCATGGCTTTTTCAAGGGACAGCTGAACCTGGCAAAGCGCCAGGAGTAACGAACTGAAGGCTGCCAGACCTTGTCAGGGCCAGCTGTGCACAAGTAGGTTCAGAGGCTGCTGATATTTGGAAAGCAATCAGGACTTGGTAAGATTGCTGGACCAGGCTCAAATTATCATATTTTGGATACATTATGCAAAGATCTAGCTTTCTTAAGAAGTGTCACAGACAGAGAAGAAAAGGATGTCAAGCAGCAAAGTGGATGATCTCAGTTACAACAGCAACAGGTACATCATTGGAAGTTCTGAAAGGCCAGGTTGAGGACACATCATTGTGGAGAAGATCTATCTGTATGGTACTTGAGAGTTGAGATCAACTTAATGGCATATGTCTGTGTGTACTTTCAAATCAGTGTTGATTCCTGACAATTCCCTGATCTAATCCCCAGCAGTGTTCTTGGCAAGATTTTTCAGAAGTGGTTTGTCCTTGCCTTCTTCCTAGGGCTGGGAGAGAGTCACTGGCCCAAAGTCCCCCAGCTGGCTTTGTGCCTAAGGAAGGACTTGAACTCATGACCTCCTGGTTTTTAGCCTAGTACCTTAACCACTACACCAAACTGGCTGTCCTGATGGCATATAATCAATCAATAAAAGGTTGCTGGAACTATGACTATCAGTGAAGGCCACCATAAATTCCAGTCTTACAATTCCAAGCTGCTAAGGCCTTTCCTTGGGATTTGGGTTCACATGTCTTTGAATTCTCTCATTTTGCTGGTGTGTTGGATGCTCTCTGCCCAGTGAATCTGATGAATTTATGACTTTGAAATGGGCCTCACAACCAACTTCAACCAGATAAGCACTGCTGTTGGGGAATATGAACTGAAGATCGCAGAAGAAGAGATTTTCATGCTTTTGCACAAAAAATACTATTTCCTTACCTTTACATTCTCAATGAGGATTCCCATGAATTGTCCATTGGTACCCTCAGTACTTTGACCGCTGCCAGCACTTCGGATACTGCCAATACTGCCTTCGCTGCCCACGCTGTTTCTATCACCTGCTGTACAGGAGAGGAGAAATTTCAAATGGGATACTGTGGAGGGGAAAGAGGGGAATAAGGGTTTTCTGTTACCCATAAGAAAGCATTAGGTGAAAGAAAACAATTGGTAGTAGCAAGTTACACAGTCCTGCAGGCTTTGCCATGGAACACAGAATTAGAAACCCCTGTTTTCAAGAAGAGATTAGCTGGCAAGCAGTGCAGGAATTTAGCTATGGGACTCTTATTTACATCAGCCTCCACTTGTTCTGATTTTGTCCCTAAACGCAACATACCAGCTTAACTGAGGGAAGATGCAATAACCATAACAGCAGGCAGACAGGGCAAACATCTTGGGTCTATTCATGTAGGAAGGAATGCCTATGAATGTCAAATGTGCATGTACAGATGGAAGGAGAGAAAAACATATGTCACTCTGGTAGATGTGTCTAGTAGATGTGGCTGCATAGTTATCAGAAGTCTGCCCTGATAAGTAAAACTGCCCTTAAAATAAAAGCAAGAAGAAAGGAATAAATGTGCCCTTGGTGGGGTTACCAGGTAGGTTGGAAGTGTCCCCAGATGTCTACTACAAATGCAGTAGTATAGTGTAGTAGAGCAAGGATGGGCAATATGTGTCCCTCCAACTGTTGCTGAACTGCAACTCTCAGCAACCCTTGCCATTCGCTAAACTAGCATTCAGCAGCATTTGGAGGGCAGGGCCACCCATTACCTATCTTTCTAACAAAGGCAGAAACAAGAATGAGGATCCAACAGTGTTATGCATGCACACATACTCATACACGCTAATCAGTCAAGAACACGTGGGTATGCGTGAGAGGGAGCATGTCTCCAAAGTTAAATACTCAAGTGATAAATATGAGGAACCACACATCTCCTTGCTGTTTTTCTCCCTGGCCTGTTCTTTCCTGTGCTGCAGTCAGGCAGCTTGAATGGCAGGAATGCTTGCCCAGCCCAGCCCAGCCCAGCTGTACCCCTGACCTGGGCTCTCAGGTGCTGGAGCTGTCCTGGTCAGGGTGAGGTGGCCCCAACCTGTAGGGAGGCTGAGGGGTGTCTGTGGCGGAGAGGCGTCGGTATGTAGTTGTAGCCCACCAAGAGAGGTGGCTGTGGTAACCTGCAGTCCCTTTGCATGGCTCTGGCACTGATGTATGGGCACCATGCGGGAAAGTGTCAGGCCTGCATGTAGAGACAAAACATGCGTGTCAGAACAGAGCGCATGTAAAGGCAAGGCAGTGGACTGGGTGTCTGTATGGCCAGTCTTTCCCAGTGGGACACACTATGTAGGACTTCACTGCATGGACAAAGTGCTGCTACATAGGACAACTTAGGTACCCAAGGAATACATATGTTCATCTAAAGGTCACACTACTGGAAGTTTAAAGAGCACAATGTGGATTATTTATTCATTACGTAGATGCTTCCAGAATGCTTCCTTAACAAGGAGTTTCAGCAGCTTATAATGGATATTAACAACAGAATCAGAACCCCAGTACAGGTAGTCCTCGACTTATGACCATTTGTTCAGTGACTGTTCAAAGTTATGATGGTGCTGAATGAATGGTGGTTACGACTGATCCTCAGAGTTCTGGCTGTCCCAGCACCGCCGGGGTCATGTGATCACAATCTGGGTGCTTGGCAACCAGTTTGTACTTATGACTGGTTGCAGTGCCACGCAATCACATTGCCATTTGCAACCTTCCCTGCTGGCTTCCCCAGAAAGTCAATGGGAAAGCTGGCAGGGAAGGGCGCAAATCTCCTCCACACATGTGCCCTCCCTCAGCCCCTCTGTGCTCGCGCCGCGCCAGCCACTCGCACACCCCCAGGCACCCTCTGCACCCTCCCTGACCCATGCCGCACCCCTGCGCACCCTCCCCAACCCACACTGCACCCTTGCACATCCTCCCCAACCTGCGCTGCCCACTCGTGCAGCCTCCCCAACCTGTGCCGCACCCTTGCGCACACTCCCTGACCCACGCCCTACCTTTGCACACCTTCCCCAACCCATGCCTTCTGCACACCCGTGTACCCTCCCCGACCCACACTGCACCCCATCACGCACACCCTTGTGCACCCTCCCTGACTTGCACCCCTGCACATTCTCCTCAACCCATGCTGCACTTTCGCTCACCCTCTCTGACCCATGCTGTGCCTCATGTACACCCTTACACACCCTCCCTGCCCATGCTGTGCCTCTCACACACCTCTTCGCACGCCTCGCCCTGCCTCCCCCACACCCCTGCCCACCTCTTGCTCCCTTCCCCACCTGGCAGCAGCCACATATCTGCCTGCTGGCCTGGGACTTGCAACTTCCTGCTAGCTTCCCCACTGACGTTGATTGTGGGAAGTTGGCAGGAAGTTGCCTCACCTAATGACCATGGGATTTGTCAACGATGGCAACCACAACAGCAGGGATTGCCATCTATAAGCGATGCGGTCAAGCATTACGACTGCATTGTAATCGTAAATTCTGGTCCCAATTGCTGTTGTAAGTCGAGGACTACCTGTATATTTATCTTTTCCCTCCTCCCCAATTCTTTTCACAAGCCTGTAAAAGATGGTTTATCCTTATTAAAAAGATGTCCTACAGAGGTATATCTAATTCATTTGTTTCATCATTTCTAAATGCTTATAACTGGAGAAAATTCAGAGCCAAAGCCAGTATGAAAGGATAATCATAACTTATGATGCATGCTTTTCATTTTCATAGCTGACAATGCATATATGCATCCTGCGATAAGAGATTTTGCAAGTTTTTGCATTTAAAACCTCCAACCTTGTTTTGACTAGAAGCAAAAATACAATAATAGAATTTATGTCATTTATTTTTAAGTTTTTAATCACTGTCTCCAATCTTCAATGCCTTAAGAACACGGAAAACTTAAAATATGGGCATTTTACTTTGCTAGGTATTCAAATACATTGCAACTGGACACCAACAGCATCCATCTATAGACTGAAGAGAACTGTATATTTGCAACCAGTCTGCAACAACACGAGTGGACGATGCAAACAGCTAAACTACCTGTAAGACTTTGCATATCTGTAAGTTACCCCTTGATAAATTATGGTTTGTATTTATCCCTGGATAATGCAGTATACAATGGGATTCAAGCAGACAAATATTCCATTTTTTAGAGACTTTGATGGACGTTTTCTATCAGTCCAAAGCCATTGTGCAACTATTTCAATTTCCTACCACTTACCACTCTCAGTGGTAAGAAACAAGTAGAAGGGATGAAAAATACAGGATAGTTACAAATGGAATATATGAAGCAGGATGACTAACAATACCAGCCTTGTCTGTAAGGTCCCTTGGAAATACAGTAAATTGAATTTTAAATATCTGGAGGACATCAAGTTTTCTATCCTTATATAAATGGGCACGAGCCTTTTGTGTTGAAAAGTTGGTGCACGGTAGGGGGTAGGAAGGGAGGGAGGTTTGTTGAACTTGCCCTGAATAACCCTGCCTTTGAATTAGCAAATGAAGGCAGAGAATATTGTCATGAGTAACTATGACTGGAAGAGGAGGCTATGAGTTGTTGTTACTGTTTTTTTTTAAAGGAAAGGAGATGATGAAGTGATGAAAAATGGAATAAAAGGGATGTCCTGGAACATGGAATCACAGATGTCTCCAGCCTTTTCCTCCACCCACCAACCACATCACTGGATTCTCACAAAACATCCCCGCTGTAACCCTAGGCCAACCTGTCCGCTTGCTGATTACTTCTACGATGGATGGAGGAAAGTAGCCGACTCGGTCGGTGCCTTTCTGAGCATCATGGATGTGGCCCTTCCACCGCCCATCTGCATGCTGCTCCAGGACCTGGCAAAAGAAAAGAACTCCCATCAACAGCCTGACCAGACAGACAAAGGAGTACGAAAAGAAAAGGTTGAAAAGGCAAGAAGGGTCATTAAGTCTAATTTCCTGCTGCTGTGGCAAGATCTTCTAAAGCTGGCATGTTGCATGGTGCCTGTGATGGATATATGAATGGGGAAACCTTTGTTGTTCAGATCTAACCTTTGCTATGAACTTGCTAGCCACTTCACTGTTTGCCCCCACGTACAAAAGGTGGGTAAGTATAGTAATCGAGGACTATTGTAAGGATTAAAATAATGTGTATGATTCTTAAATGTTTATTTTATTTATACACCATTTATGTGTTCTTAACACTTGAAAGGGAAGTAAATAAACATAGAATACAATGGAATAAAAATTAAAGGAATGCTTCATTAGGATTAGACCAAACTTGTCTTTTTAGTCTGAAGGCTAAACATTTCATTTAAAAAACTAAAAGCCAAGCTTGTTACCTGAATTCTATAGCTGCACTTAAAACTGATATTCTTTACTTTGTACTTCTGCAAAAGTTGTGCCACACGCAAAATGCTACACCACAGAATCTGTTATTCAATTAATCTTCTTTTTGTATGTACATTCTTCTTAAAAGCCTCTTGCCTGCATCTAAACACACTGCCAACTAAGATCCAATTATAATAATACTTCCCCATCTCCTATAGTAAGGATGCGCTGCTTCTTTTAAGACAAGTCAAAGTTGTATTTGTTCTTTTTCTCAGCATTGTAATCCCAACTGGTCTTTGCATGGAAGAAGATCTATAACAAAGTGCGAGTGATGAGGGAACACCACAGGGGGAGAGCGGTAGCCCTGTAAGAGCTTACATGACTTCCATTCCTTCATCTTTTGTAATTGTGTATATGGGCTTTTAATTGTATATTTATTTATTGTTTTTAATGAGTTGTGAGCCGCCCAGAGTCCCCATTGGGGGGAGATGGGTGGGGAAAAATTTAATAAATAAATAAATAAATATTAATTTCTCACCGTGATGACATCTCCAGCACGGATGTTAAGAGCTGTTGGATCATGGAGATTCCAAAAATCCTTCAAAGCACGGACTTTCAGGATTCCTGATGCCTCTGATGACAAATGGTAATAGGGAGAGAGAAAGAAGAGGACAGAGGAGGCAGAAAATGGGCAAAAAAATTGTCAAGGAAAAGGAAGATGATAATGTTACTTACAGAACAGATAATTCCTCCTGTTTCCCATAGCTTGCAAACTCTTTAGGCAGCCAGTATGTTCTTTCCACCTTCAACTTTCTTACTTAGCTTAAGATTCAGAGTCAGCAGTGGGGTTGAAAAACCCACATTCCTTCATTACCTTTCCCCAAGAGACTTCCAACCAAAGGCCTGTCATGCTGGACATATAGATTGCAGCAGACAATCTTCTCACTGCAGGATCTATGGGGATTATTTTTCAGCTTGCTCACCTCGTAGGAGCTGCTTGATGTCCTTGCTGGCATGTGAAGTGGTGAACTGGTTCACAATGTCCAAGGCTGTCTGGTTGTAGGTGTTGCGAATGTTGACATCAATGCCCCCCTACTCACAGAGAAAAAATTAAATGATGGACTATGGAAAGAGGGTCTCTGCAAGGTAGGGAAATTTTTCCTGAAGTAGGGAATTGTGCTCTGATCTAGGTTTCACAATTTCATCACCAGGCTTAACTAGAGCCAACAGTAAGTATTGGTTAGATAATCTTGGTTAGGCAATGCCTAGTATTGATTAGATAACACTGGTTAGACATTGGTTCTGACATCTCAGAGCTTAAAAAAAAGTTCCCTACTATTTGCAATTATTTCTTTCTCTTGCTAGCCTTGATCCCCATAATATGCACACTCCTTTCATACAGCAGCTGTATGAAAGGAGGTTATATATATAAACTGGTATGTGCACAAAGGATTTATCAGCATGAGGAGGAATTGTTTAGGGGCTCTTCATATGGTTGCCAAATGCTGTGCTGGCTTACAATAGCCAAGCCCAGGAGAGCTTGTTGTCCCTATCTGCTCAAGGTCATGTTCATCACTAACCCAGCTTTATGGTTTACAGGTAGTCCTCTACTTACGACGACAGTTGGGACCCGAATTTCTGTTGCTAAGTAATGCGGCTCAGGGAGGGTGTGCACAGGTGTGTGAGTGGCAAGCATGGCATGAGCACAGTGGGGCTGGTGGAGGGTGCGCAGGTGGGAGAGACTTACCCAACAACTTGCGATATTCCTGCCAGCTTCCCCTTTGACTTTCTGGGGAAGCCGGCATGAAAGGTTACAAATGGCAATCATGGGATTGTGGGGTGCTTGGCAACCGGTCATAAGTGTGAATGGGTTGCCATGCACCCAGATTGCGATCTCATGACTGTGGGGATGCTGGGATGGCTGCAACCTCAAAGACCAGTCGTACGTCTCCTTTTTCAGCACCATCGTAACTTCAAATGGTCGCTGAATGAATGGTTGTAAGTTGAGGACTACCTGTAGTGTTATGTGCAAACTGGTTCTTTATCTCACCTGCAGCAGTAAGCGCACCACTTCTGTCTTGCCATACAATGCAGCTTCATGCAAGGCAGTGCCTGTTTTTGTCTGCCTGTTGATCTCAATTCCAGCTTTCAGGAGCTGCCTGTGTGGACAGAAAAATAAACAATGAGCACCAGCAGACCAAAAATGGTCAGCCTAGATCAATCTGGATGGTGTAACAACTGCTGCCGGGGGGCCAAGACGAAAATGGGGGATTACAGATGAATTTAAGAAATAAATTGGAGAAAGTATTTGTACTACAAAAAGAATACATTAAAAAATAAACACAATGGATGTGTATGCTCTGTAGTACAAAGTTTTAATTTATGACATAATTCAGTAAGGATCTCACTTGAATGATGGTAACTCAGTAGCTGCTACTACAGAACTGAAAAATCCAAAATACACTTAATTCCTGTTTCCCCTGGAATACATGACAGAGAGAATGGGCACAGCTCAAGAACAGAGCAAATTGAGGTTACTTCTCTCTTCCTAAGCAGATGCAGCTGGAATTTTGTTAAAGGGACATTTTAAATGTAATGCATGTGAATAAGGAATATCTGTTATTTTCTCCACGTAGGGTCTGAAACAAAGATTTCTGAAGTTAATGCAGGAATAAACTACAATTTGAAAAGGCAAGTGTAAACTGTAAGTACAAAATTACTCATTCACTTTTATTGGCCAGACTGTAGACTGCAAAAATAGAAGCATTAGGGTAAGTTTTAGGAATTGGAGAAGCAGGTTCAAGGGGAACTCACTGATAGTCCTCCCAGCTCTTTAGCCTCTATTTTATTAGCCCTTTGGAACAACGCAACAAATGGTGCCCTCTGTTGGCAGATATGTTTTGTTAAAAAGCGATTTGCTGCCATCTCTCCTCCCCTAAATAAGAGTAGGCTAATCTACTGAGACCACTGCCTTTCCCCACCTTGGAAGTGCTTAGAAAATTACCTGATAATCTCCTTGTGCCCATTCTTGGCTGCCAAGTGTAGAGGAGTAGTGTAGTTGGGGTCACTTGTGTCCTTGAATTGTCCCTCAAGTAGAGCCACACACATATGGCTGTTTAGAAGCAACTGGGCTACCTAAAATGGACAGGGAATGAGACAATGAATAAAATACAATGGAAAGCATATTTGACATTCTTGCTTACTCTGTCCAGTGATAACTCATTGACAGACCATCTATTCAGCAATGTAGAACATCTAATGTAGAACATTCAAACCCTAACATCTCCCTGAGAGGACATAATATAGTTCCTTCCCAATTTGGGATCTCTGTGGCTCCCACCCTGATGGTATTCTGGAGCCCCTTGCTGAATATTGGGGGTATACATTCTGTGTGGTCTGCCAGTTTTCCCTTGTTCTTCTGTTCTTTTCCCTCTTTGGTTCTTACTGTATTGTTTTCATACTTATAATTCTTATTATATTATTTGTATACTTTTGTTCTTATGATACTGTTTTTATTCTTTTTTTTCAATTCTTTTTTATGAAACAAAATTTTTACAAAGTAAAAATAATACAAATTTAAAGAAAAAAGGAAGTAAAGGAAGTAAAGGAAAGGAAAATTGATAAGTAAATAGAAAAGAAATGAAAGAAAAAAGACAAAGAAAGAAAGAATAAAAAAAAGATATAAAGAAGTGGCTTCTCATCTTCTTTACAGCAGTTATAAATACATTTATATTGTATCCTCTCTCTAAGGTTACCCTATGGCTCCCTTCTTTCCATATTCTACCATATTCATTTTTCTTTTTTTTTCCAGCAAAAAGTCCATAAGGGGTTTCCAGTCACTGACAAATGTAATTGTTGTCTTTTCTCTAATTAAGCAAGTCAAATTTGCCATCTCTGCAAATTCTGTCATCTTCACCAACCATTCCTCCATTGTGGGTATTTCAGAGTCTTTCCATATTTGTGCATATAAAAATCTTGCTGCAGTTACTGTGTACAAAACAATCGTCCATAAATCTTTTCTAATTGTCCATTAGTCCCAGCAAGAAAAGTTCCAGTTTTAGTTGAATATTAATCTTTAAAATTCTTTGTATTACTGTGTGTATTTGAACCCAAAATTTTCTAACTTTTTTACAAGTACAGTATATGTGTGTGTGTGTGTGTGGGTATTTCTGTTTATTGTATTGTGAGCTACCCAGAGTTGTTCTGGAGTCAGGTGGTGCCAAATGGAGTAAAATAAATGAATAAATAGATGCTGGAGAAGTGTTGCCAGTCACGTTAGGCAATGTTGAATGACAGGGTCAAAGACAGATTCCAAGTCATTCTGGAGCATTCTCTCTCCATTCCACTTTGGAATGAGTTTACATGTTTAAAGTTAGTGTTACATCTCAGGACACTGTTGTTGAACTGCAACTTCCACCATCCTTCACTGTTGGCCATGCTGGCTAGGGCTGATGGGAGTTCATCAACATTTGGAGGGTTGCGCTTACTCATCCCTCTTAGCTAAGATTACTAAGGAATAACTCTCATTGAATGAAATGGAACAAGACTAGCTTGAGGTTTGAGGGGTCCCTGGTCAAAATAAACCTCCCTGTTAATAGGGGAGAAACTTTATTAACACCTTACTCATTCTTTTTGAAGATGGCATAGTGATGTGGGTCAGACAGTCTTCCTTAAAACTGGCTGTGACTTTTCTTAATTTCAGTGCATGCATTTAACGGAATAAGTCTTTTGTTTCACTTAGAATTATCACTGTTTTTCCTATGTGGAAGAGGCAACTTTTCTTTTCATACTTCTGACATATAATTGTTAAAAGTTCAGGAGTCCTACTAGATTAAAAAAAAAAGTGTGTCTACTCTCATGTTTTGTTCTGCTTCTTTATTTATAATTTCTATTGGTAAGTCTGCCCAACTCTGGGGAAGCCCCTCTATTTCCTTGCACTTCAATCAGAAAGACTAAAGAATTGCCAACCTATTTCTAGCAAGCACCTATATCCTTTACAATGGCTACCATTAATGTGACCATAGTTCAGATAAAGAGACAGCTTCTGCCCTTTAGACCTCCAAGAAAGACAAATGCTTAGGAGTAGCCATTCCTCCCATTCTGACAGCCCTGAGAAAGAAAGAGTTGTACATCTGCTTTGCTTCCAAGTCCTTAAAGGGGCCAAATTCTTCAGCCTTTTAGGAACTGGGTCATCCAATCCTGTTATTATCAGCCACTCAATTCTCTTTTTCTAGACTCCACCTGTCAATTTTCTTCAGCCTCTCCATCTTCAGCCTCTCAACCACAGGTCCTGCATTCCTTATAGAAGAAGCTTCTGTCCAAAATGCTTCAGCAAGGATGGATTAGTTTTAACATTGATTAGAGTGTGGTTTATGGCTCAGTGTATTGATGAACCCACTGTCTTTACAGTTCAGCATGTCCTACAAATCCAGGAAACTGGGTTAATTAGCATACTTGGGCTAAACATGGGCAGTTTATCATGCAAACACAGCCAATCTAAAGGTTGTGCTTAGGGCAGTTTACTAAATGAGAAACAATTTCAACTTCAAGTCTGATTTTGACCTGTCTTCAGCCTAAGTAATCCCTACACCATCACAAGTTTCAGTCCACATGCAGAGGTCTTGAGCATATTACTTGTGTCAGATTTATCATGCTATTTATGGCCTATTTGATACCAAAATTGATGTTCAAAACACTCCCTGGTTGATAATGAAAATAATGTGTCACTCCCTCAGCTCCTTTGGTGCAATCCCTTAGATGAATTCCCCCTCCCCCATCAGGGTTTACTTATATTTCTTGTTCTTTTCTTTAGCTTGGAGGAAGCTTCCCATCCTCAGGAATTCCAAGTAGCTTCTGCACCTGTCCTAAATACCGGAGCCAGGAATCTACAGCCAGCTCCCAGTTTGGTCAGGATGGAATGTCTGGCCTTCTATCCCAGCTGGCCTTGGTTCTGACTTCATAGCCTGAAAGGATTGTCAGACTCCAGGCATTGTCTGGTTTTGTGTGGGAACAGGGAAGAGAAAATGTTGATTGCTTTGGAACCACAGTGGGAAGAAACATCCAGGGGGAGGATGCTGTATTATGTCTCAAAGTCATAGCAAGGCCTGATCCAAGCTGCTGCCTGCCCTGTTTCTTTAGTCCAGGGTTTCTCAACCTCGGCAACTTTAAGATATGTGGACTTCAACTTCCAGAATTCCCCAGCCAGCCGAATTCTGGGAGTTGAAGTCCACGTATCTTAAAGTTGCTGAGGTTGAAAAACACTGCTTTAGCCTATTGACATGTACTTGCAGAAGTTTGGTTACCAGAGAAAACCACAAGGCAAGGGTTGAAATTCTGAGTGATGGGTAAAATAGAATTTATGGTACCAATCCAACAGTTGGTTTAAGGCTAGCTTAAGAAAACTTCATGGGACAGGACAAGACAGAACAGGATGGAATAATACTGTATGCTCGACTGCTTTTCTTGCACCAGAATGCTTTTCAATAGACAGTGGATATGAACTAGACAGATGGGGTAATCTTTTCTCTAACTTGTTTGCTTTGTTATACAAGGTGCTATGGTTGCTTCTGCTTACCTTCAGCCTCCCAAACTCACAAGCCAAGTCCAAGGGGGTTTTCTTAGCCTTATTTATAAGACACGGGTTGGATTGGTGCTGAAGCAGCATCTCTGACTGCAGGCAAACATGTAAGAACATGAAAAGAATTTAGTGAATCTGGAGAAAGTGGCAGCACATTCCCTAGTTAAGCAACTCATTTACCTGTCATGCATAGTCAAAGCCCTTGTGCAGGAAAACCCTTGTTTGGAACTGACAATAAAGCACCACTATAATATGGATCATAATGGGCCTGTAATTTGCTTCTCCAGCTCCTTCTAGTTAAATCTCAAATCAAGAAACTCAGGAAGTTCTCCAGTCTTTCTTAACCAGTTTAAAGTTCTTCTGTAAATCAATCTGGTGGAAAGTAAACATCCTCTCAGGGGCTTTTATTTGCATTCTCACCATCTCAACACATTTGAAGCTGTGTCTGATTCAGACAGTGAAAAACTGGGAGAAAGTATATATTTTCTAAATTCGTAAGATGTTTGACTGTAATGTCTGGTATTCAAATAATCTCAGATTCTATCTTTAAAAATCTTTACTATCTTTAAAAATAGTAAATAAAATGCTTGTCCTCATTTGCGTGCAGTGCAAGATCTGCAAGAGCTTGAAAACCAACAGAAATGTGACAGGATTTTGGAGCTATTCCTAGAAAAGCTTTAATGTTATAAGTAACCAACGTAGGGGTTTTTGGATGATAGTTATGGCATGTACAGCTTTTTGTTTTCACAAGAGCAAAATATATACAATTCTGTTGATTTTTTTCAGAATGGATTGCCATGCAAAACTATGTTACTTATCAGACCAAAATGATTTTTGTCATCTTTCTCCCTGTTTTGTTTCCTGACAAAATCTACATAAATGCTATCTTGGTATTGACTGCAGCTTATTATAATTCTACTATGAACTCCATCTATGCTTTATGCCAAGGCAATATACTAGCGTTGCTATGCAATTTTCACCTAAGGGGGGCCATATAAACATACAAAGGATATGGGGTTAAGAAGACAGGATATTTTGGATTTTTTCGAAAAGGCAAACTTAGAATTCCTTTAGTGAGGTTTGAACTTATATATGTTCTTTATCTAGTAGGATACATTTTAGGTTTGGAGAGGTGGGGTGGTTTAATTGTATTCTGGTTTTCATTTACTCAGAGAACCAGTTGATTATACACAATTAAATTTTATTTCAGTATATTGTTGTATGAACAGATGCACAAGAAATGATGAGTTGTTTGTCTTTACAGAAGTACATCAGCAAAACTGTTTCTCCGTACTTAACTTTAGAATGTTTGGCTTATCACACAGAGTTATGAGAGTCTCTCTTTTTCCTTTTGTCTCTTGCTCCCTCCACCATAGTTCCCCACTTACCACTTCATAGTGGCCATACTGGGCGGACAGGTGCAGTGGCACCTGTCCATCCAAGGATGCCATGTTAACTGAAGCAGATGCCCGTAGCAGTAGACGCACTGGCTCCACCTTCCCTTGCCAGGCAGCATAGTGTAATGGGCGCATTCCTGTAGAAAGACAAGTGCCAGAAGGGGAAAGATGGAGATAAGCCACCTAATGTGGAGACTATATGGGCCCATATGGGGAATCTAGAAATAAGAAATTAACAAAATAAGAAAAAAAGCCATACTAGATCTTTGGATCTAGGGCTGGTTTATGTTCATTAAGTGGGCAAACTTTACTGGGGCAAAAGATGGGGCATGGCAGCCTTCTGTTCCCAGTTCCAAAATATTATTCAAAATATTACTTCCCTAGAAGCAGTGTTGTCTATCATATTGTTTGCAAGTGACACTTTTTACTATTGAGACGAGAGTGATTCCTACATTGGTTGCTGCTACTAAGAATAAGAGAGAGCAGTTGAGAAGGTCTTTCACCTTCTTGATCATGCTAGGGGAGAAGTCAGAATAGGCAAGTGTCTTACCATTTGTATCCTTAATATCCACGATGGCCTGTGCCTCCAGCAGCAGGGAGATAAGCTCCAGGCTTCCAACCAAGGCTGCATGGTGCAATGCTGAAAACCTGAGGACAAGAAAACAAGAAAAGAAAAGAAAAGAAAAGAAAAGAAAAGAAAAGAAAAGAAAAGAAAAGAAAAGAAAAGAAAAGAAAAGAAAATTTGATGGGGCAAGCCTCATTGACTTCTAAACATAGCCATGTTCCCTATTAGGAGTTATGTTGACCACTCAAGACTATTGAAGAGTGACACCACAAGGGAGGCAACTCACTTTAGGCACATGGACCACCCTTGCAATGATTCACCTCTCCACATCCTCTTAGTGGTGAAAGGATGATACAGTTGCTTTAATGGCGACTCTAGTCCTCCACTTAGATAAGGGAGCCACATAGAATATTTGAAAGCCGCATAGTACATTGTAAGCATTGGACAAGAACCAAAGTTCAAACTCTCATTCAGCTATGAAGCTATCTAGCTTTCCTTAGGCTAGCCACTATTTTTCAGACTAATCTATTTTACAGAAATGAGAAAAAGGGGGCTATATAGAACCACTCTTAATTTCTTGGGAGGAAAGGAGGCATTTTCCCAATATGATGCATTCCAGATGTGGTTGACTATAGCTCTCAACAAGTCCAGCTGGAAAGTGACGAGAGTGGTACTTCAATATTTCTGGTGTGCATCAATTTGGGAAAGGCTGAGATATCGGTATTACAGTGTCCTGGCAAATAGAGAGATTCTGAAATCACAGACACATACAGTAAGAGACATCCGGTAAGTCCTGTTCTTTGTGGAGGGGTTGCCATTTACACTTTTTCAGCACTGACCAAACTAGTCCAGAATGCTTAATGACAGACTTCTTTTTCTGGCATTGTCCTGTTAATGTCCCCCAAACTCCTTTTTCGTTTTCCTTTGAAGACCTTGTTATGTATACACTCTTGCACATGGGAAAGTCTGCTGCCATGGCTCTGCAGAACACCAAACAATTCCCTCTTGGCTCTCATATAGGACTTCGAGCAAGCTGCTATTTTGTGCCTTGGTATCTGCATTTCGGTACCTTCCTTGCCTAAGAAAACATGGAAGGACATAGCACTGGCTGGCTAAGACAAAAAGCGTGATCTGAGCCATGTACTGTCCTCAAAAGCCTTAGATATGGACTCTTCAAAAAGTTTAACATGACAGAAGTGGAAAAATATTATTAAGAATATCAAATACACAGGGGGTAATCATATTAGTTGAATCTAATTCCTTTAGTGTAATTTTCATTCGTTTTAAATCAGCTTTAGTATCTTGACATCAGCCACCCATTTGCCCTGGCCCTACCTAGCTTTTAAACTGTGGTCCCTAGCATGCCACTCAAAGACTTACAGCCTCCCCTCCCCAAGTTCTGATTTAGGGTGCTCGTGTTTTTATTCAGTAACTGGCTTGCAAGGGGATCTTAAGCAAGTATTTTTTTTTTTTAATCCCTGCTCCCTCTGAAAAGGACTAATACCCCTGCTCAAGCCAGCCTTGCGGCTCATAAAGGCACGAGGGTTCTTTTGCTCATCAAA